ACATGGTCTATTCTGTTGACTGGGTGCCACATAACACGCTCGCAGCTGCGGTTAATAACCGAGCTCGCACAAAGTTCAATGCGCCGTGTCCTCAGGGTTGCTCGCCACTGATTTAGAGTCAGCAGGGTGTTCACAAGCATATAGATATCCATGCCACACACAACCACCACTCATTGTTTAATGACTTTCTGTGTCGTATGTTTATGTCACTTGGGTTATGCCATGCCTATGCATGTATAGTGTTGAGCTGTGGTATTCGTGTCGCATCAAAGACACTATATCACATCACCAGCATATCACTAGGATGTATTGATGTTTTCTTAACGTGATCCTGTAAGTATGTACATATATCTAGGCGCTACAGTATCTGTTATGAATATGTATACCTCAAGATCTATGTAAGTTTAATTTATTAATAATAATGTTCGAGTGTGTATCCTCTCGTGCATTCGTCACTCGTGCATGCAGTAGGAACGCAGCCCCAGCCAGACAAACCAATGACCAAGGCCGCTCTAACCTTGGACCAGCCGTCGCTGTCGTCGACTCTCACGAGTTTGGATTTGCTTACGGTATGCAGTCACCACGTTCGGATCATCAAAAGCATCCGCTGTCATTCATGTGAGAGAGCTCTTTAACCAGCTCACCAGGTACTCCGATTGCTGGGTCGCCTCATTGTGGCGGTGTGATATGATGTGCCGGAATGTCGATCCCCCTTCTCTCCATAGCGATTCATCTAGTGGTGGCTCCGTAGCCCGGTGAACTAGCCGAATAGTCTCTACATTAACTGGACGGTCTCTGAGTTCCGGTGGTTTGCTGCCATCCTTGTCTCGTAGATGGTAACTCTGATTCACACGACTATGAATAACGTATGGACCCAGCAAAGGCTTCATGGCTTTGGAAGTCGCTCCCTGTGCGAGTAACATGACAACGTCCCCTGGCTAAAATTAAAATTAAATCAAACTTCCGCATCTGGTCAGTGGCCTCTGCCATAGCATCAGTGTAATTGATAGTTTTCTGATGAAGTTTTGGCAGAATCGTCTTCTCAAGGTCATCCAATCGCTTAAGTCATACATCATTCGTTGTCGGAATATGATCAGGTAAGTCATCAGTTATGTCTGCAAATGGAACATGGCGGCGCCCAAAGTAAACACTAAATGGTGCTAACTTGTGCCGACGTGATATCCGGAGGTTCTGGTAAAGTATAATAAAAGGTAAGCTAAAATCGATGAGGGTGTGTGGAAACAGAATCCCCAGTAGGAGCAAGTGTAAGCCTGGATATGTTGGCTGATACTGAAGTGATCTGGACGAGGGTTGTATGTGGGTGCTAGTGATTTAGTTGTGTTAATGTAGTGGAGTATGCGGAGGAGCGCGTTGTAGTTTGGGACAAGTCGGGCGAGGCTAAAGTAGTTAGTTATTTTAGGCATATATGGTCTCGGGCCGAGTCATATTTACTGCAAAACCTAAAGCGCCTAGTGATCTTCGGTATTGACTTATAAACAAGAGGACGACAAATGCGCCAAGATATACACTAGACCCGGAGGTGTGTTAAGGTGGGGGGCATCTTGAAAGTTGCAAGCAGTGACCATTTTTTCGATGTAGACACCTTGCAAGGAAGCTATGCTGCCGTTCGGAACTTGTAGGATGCATAGACCCACAAAGAATTGCGCCAGGTGGCCTAAATTCTCTATAATGTATGTGGGACTGAGGGCAGCAAAGAGCGAAAGGGCGTCATTTCTACTGCGGTTGATGGCGAGGTCGATTTAATTGACGTCAAAAGCAGTATAGTAACATCATACAGATATGAGTAATCCCAAATGTTCTCATTTTGAGGGCTTTGGATAAAATCGAGGGAGTCGAAAGTTCGGCCGATTTCTTGTAAACTTCTTTGGTGTAATCAAAACGGCACCAACAATGTTTTCTTACGTATTGTTATGTAGGAAAGAACTCCATTGGGAATCAATTGTCAGTACTGATACAAACCCAAATGAACTATATTTGATTTTGCAGCCTAATTAAGCGTGAGAGAGGTGGGGGTGAAAGAGAGAGAGAGAGAGAAGAGTAAAGACTTCACTCTCTACTAGCTGGGCTGTTAGCCTGATATCAATATGAGGTCGCAACATGCCGTCTGAAAAATGTTGTAAACGACCGTCGTGACGTGGTGTCGTCTGAAACATGTCGTATGTCGCATGGATATATATACAATCGTGATTTTCAGCATTTTCATGTTCTCCCAATGGCAATCGATGAAAGGTCCTGTGATGATTGGCGAAATTTTCAGATATCGATGATTCGAAGCGTCCAATTTCTTCAATCCTGAGCCGGCCATGAGAAATGTCGTGCCCCGATGTCGCGACATGGCCTAAAAAAAAACATGTAAACGACTGTCACGACGCGTCGCCATAGGCAAAAGACATAAAGTTTACCAGCTCAGCTCTCTAGTAGTAGAGAGAGTCAAAGTGAGTGTAGAGTGTAGATTATAGATACTAAAGAGAGAGAGAGAGAGAGAGAGAGAGAGCAAGAGATAATGTAAATAGAGGGCCACCCAGTCACCAGTGTACGCCCCAAACCGGGGCCAGGGCATTAGGCCCAGGTCCAGGCCCAGGCCACTCTGAGAATCAGACTCCAGCAGCGGCCACAAGTAGCACACGACTCCAGCAGCAGCCGCAAGCTGGGTTGGCATCCGACAACGACATACAACCCCGAGAAAGTGTCGCCGCTACACGTAGTACATGTCGTATGGTTTTAAAGTGTCATACATGTTGCCGACACAACCGGTCCCACTGTAGATGCATCTAGGTGCATCTGGTCAGGTCAGTGGGACCAGTACTGATATGAAGGTACTGATGACATTTATATATATATATATATATATATACGTGGTGATACTGTCTATCCACTTTGAATATTGTGAAATTTGAATATGCGTCCAATTGATCTTATCGGATGCATCAGTGAATATACTTTGGGCGCCATGTCATCAGCATTCTGATATTGTAAAAAGCTCCTGATGGAGGACAACTGACTGCCCCTTGTGGTAACAAATTTAAATTCAGGAATGCTGTAATGGTCTTCAGCTGCTTCGATATCCGATTTCTTCAGAATCATTTCAAGGTCGATGCATTCTTCAATGTCTATCTCTCCCTCATCATCTTGGTCGTCTGCCTTCAACAACTCAGGCAATGACTTCGTACACTTTTTCTTACTATTAGTATTGATAGTGACAGTGTCATACTCATTTGGACCCAGTACACCTAGTCTTGATCGAAAATTTGTTTTCACGGACTTATATGCCTTGTAGTGTAAGATTCGGTCCAAATTTAACATCCGTCAACGTAATTCCGATACTACTGTATTAACATCTAAATGGATAGGTCCATACATAATCTCTGTAGCAGACACTAAAAGTGGAACGTACGAGGTAAATAACCCCGATGGTTCTAGTGCGCTTAATATAGGCACAAGTCGTATTCCGACTACAGAGATTATACTCGCAAGAAGACATGACTCTAATGGTTCTGAATTTAAAGACATTATATGGAGAATTGATAAGGGAGGCTATACATACTATCGTACACGCTTTATAAACGGTACAATAGCTGAGTTGACTTCAGATGCTTTCGATAACCAAGACTATTTAAAAGCCTTTAATCGAAAATGGCGTAAACGCCTGCATAAGTCACAAGCTGAAAAAGATAGCATGTTTCCATCGTCTGAAGGAACGGAAGTTAAAACTTATCCGCCTACAGCATTTATCCCGAGCCTTAATGCTCATCCTTCATATGTGCTTAAGATACTGAAGCGTAAGGAACGTCCAGTCGACCACCACGGACTTACTGGACCTAAGCCCAAAACTCACAGGGTAACTGAGAACACTTAACTTCTCCGCCTGAGAAACATTAACTATATGTTATGCTACTTAATGTTTCGACCCGTTTTTCCTTTCTCGCTTTTTGACCCATAATCAGCTTGAGTGAGCAACTTGCTTCTCTTGGGTCTCAAAAGCTGGGTGGGGGCTGTGTAATAAGCCGGGCCTCCACATTAGACTCTTATGTATAAACGTACTCTTAAGCAGTACGCAAATTATAAACGTACTCTTAATAGTACGAGGAACTTAAGTTTCCTAAATGTACTCTTAATAGTACGAGGAACTTAAGTCTCCTAAATGTGCTCTTAATAGCACGAGGAACTTAAGTTTCCTAAAATGGGTTTTAATGGTTTTATAAATTAAACCTTTTCCATTTAACATATCAGATATTTGGATGAGGCCATCAAAAGGCCTCAGTAAAATACCAAACATAAAAGAGTTGGTCTAGTTCTATTAATAGAGCTTTATTTACTTTCCAATTTTATTATATCTGAATACTTCGGTAGCGAGATGACTCAACCGAATATAGGTTTCTAGGGACTATTAACGCTACCTAGTTGATCCTCTGATAAGCTAACCAGATGTGCCAGTCTGATGAAGGCTAAGTCGGTAATTCTTGATAGTGGCAAGTTATTGGTTAAGACAATAACTAAAGACGTCAAGAGTATTTTTATTTTTATTTCTTTTTTCTAAAGATATAATTTTATGAGTCTCTCGGATTCGCCCCAGAATAGAGCGACAACGAAACACTAAATAAAATCCCTTCTGCGGAAACAGTACTGAGAGGAATATATATAGGCAATGTCTCAGCCTCACAATCCCTCAGAGTATTGCTGTTTTCACGAGGCAAAGCTAACTTTATAAAACGTCTCATTTCGTTTATTTATATCGATATTTACACGATATATAGAATTTACCTACGCGTTTATTTATTCTAAGGCATAAGTATCGCCTTTATTAGACCGAATCTTACACTGCCATCATGCAGTAGCATGGGGTATGTGCCATATGAGACCCAGGGTAGTTGTTCCTCTAGTATTGGCCATGATGAAGTCATGCTAGCAATTGTATCCGATGCATAGAGAAATAAATACTTGCCGTCATATGGTAGCAATGTTATGATATTGATTGTTGTTTATGCATTCCACTCTTTTATTTTCTTCCCTCCATTGAGTGTGTGCTTTTTGGTATTGATACCTCCAACAGGTAAAGGGGATACTATGTCGCCAGATTTAACTTCTGCGGTGGTCAACAACTTCATCATCACAGTGGCGCCATCCATGAACAAGGTACCACTACACGTCGGAAATGCAGCGTTCATGATCTAAAAGCAATAAACTTTGGCCATACGAAATGCTTGAGGAATAAGGTCCTTTGAAAGTCTGTGCGAAATAAATAATATTATCATTATACGGAATCTTATGCGACTTGGGCATTTTTTTGTACTGCTGTTGTCAAGGCTCAAAAGGAAGAAGTATCGACAACCCTTAGTGACCTCAGCCTTGTTGCTCATCATGATATGTGATTGAGTTTGAGTTTTGCGTTTCGGGTTCTTAGGGTCTTTCTCCTTCATGGGGAGATTTGCAAGGCCAGGTAGAGTGCAATCTTTTGGATCCACTGGTTCGTCATCATCATTGACCGCAACAGCTGTTTTTCTTCCTACGTACAAAATTTGCGCGGCTTCAGGGGGATTCAGATGAGGCGAGTTATACACATACTCCAGTCGTTGATGCATCTCTAAGTTAGGACAGTATGATAGATGCCTCGAGCGACCACGTGCTGATGTATTTGCAGCCCATTGTTGTTCGCATGCGATTTTCGTGCATCTCCATGAGTGATGAATCTTCTTGCCATTTTCGTCGATGTAAGTTTGAGACGGCAGCATTGTGTAAGGTGTGCAACTATTTCTATATCTTAGAACGATTGAGCGTAAATAATACGGAAGGATCGTGCTTAAGTACATTAAAATGCATTCACTAAAATACAAAATGTCACATTGCCTACTGACATATCCACTGTATACTATTATACAAAAGCATAAACCCATTCATGTAAAAACCGTGTCTCAAAAAGCCGTTGGAACAGTAAACAGACATCCGCCAAACATAATTAAACAGTAGCTAGTATTTAGCTACTAACTACTAATTACATAAATATTTACTCGATATGTTTACAATATACTAAAGTTGCAAAATGTTTTTGTGATTTGAGACCGAAACACTCCAAATACCTGGGGTTCCCACTCTCTCACGGAGTACCAGGAATCAACCTCGCTAGACATATGGAATCCCTGGTTGCAGCATTGTCACTGGGTATCGTCTCTTTCCGCGCTTATGGCTTCCATGGCTTCAGCTGGCGACACCCCCGCAACCGACAGGTGATGTTCAAAAAATTCATCCTATCCACGGCTACATATGGGCTGAACATTATTGCCTGGGCTCCGCCTATATGGAAGGATGCGTTGGACCCCCTATTCGAGCGCTTTAACTCAGCACTCATTCAAGCAGCAGCCATCATCACGGGCACTAAATACCCTCGGTTTCCCAAACATCAAACAAACTCACTTCACTTTTGCGGCCTGCTCCCCGCGCGACCATTCGCGGACTACCTCGGAGGTTGCCTGGGAATACAACTCGACTCAATGGCAAGCACAAATACACTTACCCCTCTGACGCAGCCCGCCTGGGCCCACGATAAACCATCACTGCGCTTCCCGTACAGTATCTATGCTCACCTGAAAACTGTACACAAAACCACGGGCGGGCGTACACCCGACCATGTAGCCCTCCGCCAACGCTGTGACGACATCAGGAAGAACTCAACAAAACGTTGGTCCAACAAAGAGATCGCGGCAATGGCTCGGCGCCAATACTACTACCAACTGGTTATGGGTAAACCGCTAACCTCAAACCGAGACACAGCCAGACACGACAGCTTCAATCGCTGCTTCGAGTCTACACCAATCCGGCTCTGTGCTATGATTGTAACGAATACGTACATGTTCACATTGCTCGACTACCGCACCGACGGCTTTCTCTGCCCTGTCTGCCCCGGTAGCCACAAGTTCACTACCATGAGAATTTTTCAACT